TGTATGACTCATGGGAGATGATCTTAGAATTAGGCCTAACTGAAGATGATGAGCTTTTCACATTGGTCTTCCTTTTCATCTCACTTAGACTTCCAAGACCACCAAGAAAACAATAATCTGCAGCACATGTACAACAGGGTCATGACGATGGGAATGATGGGCTCAATGGTTAAGTATAAAGCTTTAAAGATCTCTCTCTCTCTCTCTCTCTCTCTCTCTCTCTCTCTCTCTCTCTCTCTCTACGCACTAATAACCTTGTTGTACAGATCAGAGAAGAGAATGAGCTAAGTATTTATAGAAGAGAGGTCAATATTTTTGTTGGCCATTTGAGTTACCGAAGATAATCTAATCGAGATGCGTACGTTAAGGTGATTTGATTTGCTCGTTTTCCAAAAGTGAAATAAGGATCCATCATCCAAGTGACAATAACTCACAATAATCTGAATCTGACTATAAGAAGTAATTAATATAAACGTATTAGGGCCTAATAAAGAGGCTGAAATACAAGAGGGAGTCCAAAGGAAGGCCTCATGGTGAGCATAATACAAGGAGAATGACAATAAGTCGGGGAGATGGTAAAAGAAAACCTTGATAGAATTAGGGTTAGGACAATCTTAATCTCCATAAAGCCTAAATTTCGACCAATGCACATTCTTCCTCCAAACCCAAAAGGCAAGTACCCCATCTTGTGCTTGCACCCACCATGTATGTCATCCTTGAACCTCTCAGGCTTGAACTCATTCACATCCTCACCCCAAAGAGCTGGGTCATGGTGCATGCCCACGATGTCAATCCACATATTGGTCCCATTGGGGATTGTTACTTTATCGCTCACTTGAATGTCCTCTCTCGCTTGCCTTTGTGCATTTGGTGCTGATGGATACAGTCGAAAAACCTCACTAATCACCCATCCCAACTGCATGCACGAATATTACAAAATAACTATTAGTTTTTTTCTTCTTCACCATGGCCATATAACTAATTCCAGAACAATATAGTAGAAACATATGCATGGTTTTGTTAATTAGTACATAACTAATAAGGAGTTTTCTTTAAATGTTGGACGTCATATATAATAATTAGATGTTAGAGCATCCAATTACTCCAAATCAGTTATTAAAAGTGGGTGGAGAGAGGCCCATGAGAAATTCACACGCATGCAACACATAGATATACCTATACACATGCATGCATGCAAACTAATGCGACAGAAATCATTAATTTGCTACCTTCTTTTGTGAAGCTAGCATGTGGACGTCAATTTGTTTATCTCCCACGACCTCCCTAATCTCTTTCCTCAACTGGTTTTGCCACTCGGGATGCATGGCCAGAAGAAGCATCGCCCATGTGATTGCCAATGCTGTTGTGTCATGACCACCAAAGAAGAAGGTCTTGCATTCATCCACTACTTGCTGCGTGGTTAAACCCTTTGTAAAGCTTCCTAATTCTCTAGTACCACTTTCTTGAAGCAACAACCCAAGCAAGTCGTGCCACGGAGGCGTAGTTGGAGACGATTGTTTCCGAGCAGTAATGATTGATATAAAGAGTTGGTCAATCTGTTTTCCAAGTCTTCTGGCCTCGAGGGTTTTCTTCGGGTGCAGGAATCTGCCAAGAGGAACTCCCATAAAATGGTTCGGCTCGAAGAGGATCATTTGCAGGGCTTTTAATTTTTGGAACACTAGGCCAGCGCGGCTGCTTTGGTAACTAATGCCAAAGCTGGTCTTGGCTATGATCTCCCCTGATGTTGCTTTGATTTCTTTCTCCACTTCTATTTCTCGAGTGCCGGAATCTATGAGGGTAGTCCACTTGTCTACCATTTTTGTGGCGGTCTCAACCATTAACGTCACTATGGCCTGTAATAAGAATACAAATTAATTCGTAACCTTTTCATGGAATTTATACAAGCGATATTGAAGAATGGGGGATTCAAACACTGGACCTCCGTTTTTTTATTTTGTAATTACGTACCTTCAAGTTGGTAGGTTTAAAAGCAGGAGTGGCAGCATGGCGGTTACGGAGCCACTCATCGCCTTCAGACATGACGAGGCCATTGCCGAACATCGGGGCTCTATCATGTCTAAACACAGCTGGCTTGCCCCAATTCTTTGATTTGACTTCTGTAGACAATTTTTTCAGTAACGCTGGATCTGCTATGTACAAAAATGGCTCTGTCCCCAACCAGTAGATGAACACCTTTCCTGCATTTGCAATACCATATATGAGTTATGACAATAATACCCAGCAACACAAAACATTCTCATTTAGTTAATTTGAAAAGGGAAAAAAAGTTATGTATTTATCATTTGTTGGAGGTGCGCTAAAATATGCTTACCGTGGGAGTTCAGCCAACGATCAAAGTAGGGAAATAGAGTTGAGTGTATGTCATGGGTGATGATATTTGAATTAGACCCAAATGAAGAAGAGCTTTTGATATTGATCTTCTTTTTCATCTCACTTAGATTTCCAAAAGGAAAACTTGGAGATGGACCATGTAACCCATTTTTCTTAAGCTTCCTATATGCTAGCATCGGGAAAACCCAGCAAGAAAAGAATAATCTGCAGCACATGTACAACAGGATCATGATGATGATGAAGAAGAAGAGCCCCATGGTTAACTATGAATCTCTCTCTCTCTCTCTCTCTCTCTCTCTCTCTCTCTCTCTCTCTCTCTCTCTCTCAACGCAGTACCAGTAAGAACCTGGTTGTGAAGATAAGAAGAGAATGAGGTGAGTATTTATAGAAGAGGATCCTCTTCTGGTGGTCATTTGATATACGAGGTTGAAGAATGTCAGAATATTTTACGAATTAAACATTTAATTATTCAATAATAAGCACCAAAAGCACATGCGTGTACGTATATTATATATGTGTGAATACCAATCTTTGACTACGACGCCAACATTTCTCAGTGACATGGCACTTTTTTAAGACTAGCTAGGCTTATTCGTTCTGCGTTTTTTTTTTTTTTTGAAGACGACGATGTTGGTGTATGCATTACACGTTTTCCAGCATTGGAAAATAGGAGGTCAACGAAACTGAAGAACCGATTTTTTTAATTTTTTTTATAGAAAATTTGGCATAAGTCCAATTATGAGGAGAGATTTTGGGTGCAATCCACGCAGAAATTGTTGTTGATCCAAGTCTTTTGACTTTTGAGCCACATAAGATTACATGCCATTTTCAATTTATTGATATTTACTTTTATTTATTATTTATTTTTTGTTCCAGTTATGCACCTAAAACATAAATAAGGTAAATTATGAATTCTTAAAACTGGTAAGTTATTGATTTGTAGGATATTAATTATCATATTTGATTTGAATTTAACTGCAAATCTATTTATTGAATTCTGAAATTTTCCCGGGGTATACCGACATCAAAATTTGTAATAAGAGTTCATAAAAACTTCATACCTTAATAATAGGTAAGGTACCTATACATACACCTCGTATGCAGTATGCAGGTAATTAAACCCATAAATTACCTATGGTCCAGGTAATTAAATCCATAAATTACCTCTAGTCCAGGTAATTTAATGTGGGTGCTTGTCTGATCAATTGGTGTAATATGTGAGTCTTTACTTTTTTATTAATTAAATTGTATTTTATCTATATATTAGGAATATTATCAAGGAAAAAAAATTTAAAATTCAAAATATGGAATTCAATTACAAGGAAATAATGCATTAAATTTAGATTTTCAATGTGTTTTCCTTATTTACCTTAAAGGGTAAAATTGACACAACAAAAAAGTAATAAATGTCAAAGGACCTACATCTAAAACCAAAAACGCGAGGACTAGACCTAATGACAGCTAATTGTTTTGGACCTAGATCTAAGAAGCCCTTTTTTTTTTGGGTTGAAAGAACCGAAAGTACCCACTAATACTTACAATCAATTTGACAACAACTTGCTTACAAGAAAGTAGTTTATCTATCTTTGATTTGTTTGAATACTCAGGACCAAGACATAACTTTTACTTGTGAGAGGGCCGACAACAATACCATCGCTGTATGAAAAGATTGATACATAGCTTATACTAATCCACAACACATAAATCTAAAAATAAATAAATTATATGGTGCATTGGTACTTTAGAATGTCCGGTGGAATTACAATGAAGATTTGATGAAGTAATTTTTATGTGTGACTGTCACATTATCAAGTTGTGTTATCAATTCACACATATTATACTATGTAGATTAATAACATCAAGCGGTATAATTATAATATTTTAGAACATTAATACGCATGTTAGTTTCAGTTGTTTGTGGCGATTGATTCCTAAATGTCTAATGGGACCATATATTTGTCTATCACATGCACCTTATTTTTTTTGGTTAGGAACCAAACAATATTTCCACGTGTGGATGAATAAGACCCACGGCCGCTATTTTTACTAATAAATATGGGTAGCTCTTGGCTGCTCCGAAGTTGCACTTATCAGCATGGTCCTTTCAATAATCTCTTGCTGCTTTCCAATGATTTTTTAGTACTTTATCGTTTTTAACTTTTTGGGTAAGTCTTGTCAGCTTCGTCGTCTTTGAAAAAAGAACGTATGGGCCTAGTACTTCCTCTGAATCTGATATTTGGGTCAAAACAAAGCAACATGGTAGAGGGCCAGCCTGGTTATCTTATCTGCAAGAATTCTATGATGAGGGTATTATATATGGCTTTAAGGTGAGGATTCTATCTGATTCTTAAATGTGGTCCGATATTTTAACTGTTTGATTAAATTAACTAACTTGATTCAATGACTAACTAATTTGATTCAACGATTAAGAAATAGGACCTTAGATATATAAGACCCTCACTATAGAATTCTACCTTATCTGTTATGAACAAAGCGATGACAAAAGTGATAAATTCTTTGGCTCAGCGCAATACCCATCAACACCCATTAGATTAGACTTTATTATCTCTATTTTTTTCTCTTTTTCTCATGTTGATTAGATTAGATTTCTATTTGTTATCCTATTTCCATTATTGGTGTTACATTTACAATAGCAATGGGACTCTTTTTTTTTATCCCCAAAAAAAAAAGTTAGGGTTCATAAGATCAAAAAATATTACCAACAGCAGAACGTATCAGCATAGCACAAAAATAGCAACAACTTGCCAAAGGGTCGTTGCTTTTGAGTGGAATCCATGGAAGGGCCAAGACCAAAAGGTGTTGAGAGCACAAAGAGACACGTAACAGCAAGGCCACATGCACCCAGCACAGCCCAACAACAACAACAAGAAGGAGACCCTCTGATTTACAAACCCATTTCTCTTCCTCCTTGGAAGCCGAGGGACACCGGGAAAAGAAAACCAATGATCAATATGGACCTCCAACAACATTCCTCCATGTTTAAAGTTCGCGCTCTTGTTCAACAACTCCGTCCCAATTTTATTGAGGTGGGTTTCATTTCATACGCTCAATTTCTAACCCATCAATGGTGCAATAATTTATGTTACGGTTTTATCAAGTTTTGTTATTTGCTTAATGGGTTTCTCTCTGTCACACTTGTATTTGTTCTTTTCTGGTCTTTTTTTTTCTGTGTTGAGCCAATATGTATGTTTATTGGTCTCTGTTTTGCTGCTCAGAAGACATTGGCTCTGATAATGAATGGATGTTTAGCCTTGTTTACTTACTGGTTTTGATATCTGCCAAGCTTGCGTGTTTTCTTGAATATACATTTATTTACTTGAGGGGTTTGGTTTTCTTTTGAAAGTTTAGGCAAGTTAGGTACACCTATTGTCTGTGAACATAGCCCAACGATTGAATGGAGCAAGCTAGGTAAAACTCCTCTGTATTTCTTGCCCTCCATTTAGTTCCTAAAAGGACATAGATACAGCAACAAAAAAGAAGATAAAAATGTGTTCTTTGATGTTGTTCTATAAGGTCCAGATAAGGAAAATCTTTCATTACAATATCTTGTCCCCTGAATTCTCTGTCTATTTTCTTCATTCTTTGTCTATTTTTGTTAAACCAGAACCAGACGTTACAATTGCTCTTGTGAAAGACCACATTTTGATCTGTATGCAGGTTCTTCAGACACCAGATTTTCGAAATAGTAAAGCAGCTGATGAAATTCGAAAACGTGAGTTGTTTAAGATACATAATTACATCTTATGTACTTGCAGTATTGCATAAACATGATAGACTGAAATGACATGGCTAATCCTTAATTTAATTCTTCAACTTGGCCTACAATCCGTGCTTAGACTCACTTTCAGTCCAGGTTTCTCTCATGGATTTACTACTCTAGGCACGAGGTGCTCCTTTATCAGAAAATCCACTGGTAATTAATTAGTTTGAACTTGAATCATTTGAAATTAGGACCGTGTGGTTAATGGTTACACGAGTCCTTTTGGCTCTATTTTGCATGAAAGCACGACACATTGGCCAGTTTCATTGCTTAGGTAGGATCATCTAGTGGTACATTAATTAAGTTCTGCATGTTTTGTTTGGAAAGCACATTGTTTGATAAGACGTGTAAACATGTAATTTGCAGAAATCAAGCTTCTGATGGATCTATACAAACAGATGGCCAAGGATGCAGGAGACACACACAGGAAGTTTGTGTCGGAAACACAGCATTCGACACATGACAGCGACCCTGCGAAAGAAAACCAAGATGGCAAACAACAAAAGCATCTTCAACCAAGATGCTCTGTAGAGAAGCCAGTGCGAGCTCGTACTCGGTCGATCCCTCTCAGCTCAGATAAGAAACCAGTTGCTAGCCAACTACAGGGAAGCTACATTGTGGGGGGTTCAGCGTTTGGTTGGAACTTCATCACATTTTCAGGCAGTAAACCAATCTATTATGGGGTGACGAAGGAGGAATTTGGAAGCAGAAACAATACATCGGGAACACGGTCTGTAGTATAGGGAGTTAGAAAGACCAACAGTTTGCTACGAAACAGGGGAAAGAGGCTACCCATTATTTTGCTGATGCTAAAGACGTTCTGTATATAGATGTTTTGTCACACAGATCCAAGTGCATTGCAGTACTTCTGCTGAAAAAGATAAAAAAATTTGGTAACTTGGCATATATTTTTTTTTTCCTGATAAATTTCTGCTACAATTTGGTACAAAACAAAGTAACAATCCTGGCGATAAAGAATGCCAGGCCTTCTTAGGATGGTCGAAGTTCATTATTGCTAAAGTAGATTCTTAATATTACTTTTTTTTATCCGTAATTTTCTTCAAATTTTTAGTTACCAGGCCTAAACTCTTCAAATTTTAATTATTTACTTAGACTACAAAGACCAGCAAACTGAAAGACCGATCCAACCAGAATAAAACCAAGGGTGGATATACAAGGGATCAGAAAGTTGGCAATAATATTTATTAATTTAGAGTCAGAACGAAGCCGTCTACATCTCAGAAGTCATGGAAGAGCATGAGAGCATCATCAAGCTTCAAAAGGGATGCTTGCAAAACTAAAATGACATTTCTGTATAGTTGCCATTGCTTCGCCATTTCCCCGAGAAGTTTGTGTGCTGGGAGATCAGTAATCTGCAAAGAATCACCACGACACATGAAAACAAACTACATGTACACTATTCAAATCTTCCTCGCATCAATATTCCAGAACAAAGAAACAAATACATAAATTCAAATTTAAAAAAAAATAGCAATTGCCCGTATTTACGAACCTCCTTGAATCGTTCTTCCTCACAAGCCAGTCGAAGACTTAAATTCAAGGCAGTGTGGAACATCTCATCCAAAACATGTTTCCAAATTATGGGTTTATCTACTCTCCACACCAAGAACTGTGACTGTCTAGCTCCTGTTACAACTAATCTCTGCAAGGATATGAAACATTGTCATGGAGAGCAAAACTAAATAAATAAATACACTACTCGTGTATGTATGTGTATGGGTGTGCACGCATCGTACGTAAAAGAGGCAACTGCTTTACCTCCATATGCAAGTAATCATCCTTCCACAGGTTATAGAGAATCTTGGGAGTTTCGTTCTTTTCAACAAGTGATAACTGTGACATATCTGAAATCTACAAAGAGGTATTGGAATAAGTAAATGAAGTAACAAATGCACTATTTTAACAACCACAACAAACTTGAATACTTCATCTTGGAAAGTTGAGAGAATTTATATAGGAACTTATCATGCAATATTCTGTCACATTAAACTCTTAGAAGAGAGAGATTGCTGGGTTTGATTTAGTTCCTTTCAGTATTCTCAATAACTAAATAAAAGGGCGATATTTTAAAAAATTATACTGATGTCTACGAAATTTTCTCAGTTGCCAGTGGAGGAACCCATAGCAATGTTATTACCTTATCCGTCTCAATTGGACGACCGGCAAGTGACAGTATTCTAAACATTGTATAAGCATCTTTCCCATATCTTTTCAAAACAATGGACTCCACCTGCAGAAAAGGAAATGTACTTAGACATCTTTCTTGGTAAATAAAGATTTATTTTCGTATTTTTTATAAGACCAAAAATCAGAAAAAACCTCATCATCCTGAGCTAGTTCAAGAATTTTCTTCAAGTCTGTACAAGAAACAAATGTGTGAGTAAAAACAATATTCAATGTATCACTAGGTCATCCATACGAAAGATAAAGGATACATAAAAACCAGAATTCAAGTTTTGAAAATATATACAGTTGTATGAGAGGGAGTTGTACCAGCACTGTATGACTCGTCCTCATCTACATCTCTTTCTTGGCTTGAATCACAGAGCCCGCTGAGCGAATCTCTGACACGACCCATGGTCAAACTACGACCAGCTTCACTGTTTATTACCTCTTCATAAATGGTATTAAGTGATAAAGGAACTGTAAAAGAAATCAAGAAAACTATGAGCTAAGGAGACAGCATGGAACAATGGTAGGCAAATGGCCAATCAGGTACTACTGCTCCCTGATTTCATTTATTAAGGCTTCACTTTAATTTTATAGCATGCAAGAATCTGAACATCCAGTTTACCTGAATTTTCTGTTTTAACTTTCTTCTCTGCAGTTCTAGTTGCCTTAAGCATTGCTCTTAAGACAACTGCAGCTTCATCATCCAGTCGTGCTCTCACATTCTCAATGCAAGCCTAGAACACATGGACAGAATATGCAGTACCATATCAGTATGAATAGACAATTATAATCCAAACAGAAAAACAGACAGAAAACCAACCTTATGCCTTAGACATCGAATGAATTCCTCAAAATTGGCACGCCAAAGAACCACTTCATCATTCGACCCAAATTCTGTATCAAACTCCAAAGTAGGATGCTTTCGCTATAAATTCAGAAAATAGCATATTAGAATAGGGTATCTTTCAGGAAACTGCATACTAGAACAACTATCCCTTTTATATAGAAATGACAATCCCTATACCAACCTTCTCCCCAACACTCATATTATCACTTTTTCCTCCAGGAGCATCAGCTTCAGAATCTATCATAATTGAAAATCTTACAGCTTCCGGAGGCGCTGCTAATGCTATAACACGCTGTTCAATGGTCTCGGGTACTTCAACCATCTGTAAAAGTTCCAAAATTGAATTATAACATCTGCAATTTAAAAAATAAATAAACACATGCGGAACTAAAGAGGGTTTTAAAGTAGAGAACTCTTTTCTTAATTTTGCTAGCATATGAATTGAGTATCTTTATTTCATAGGGCTTGTATGATTGATTTGGTTCAAATATATGGGGTCTTCATTTTGAGTTTTTGGTTCACAGGGTATATATATCGACCTGAACACATGCCACAATCAATAAATAGGTAAAGTTAGTATTGAGTTTCCTAGCATGATTAATTAGACACACTGTAAAGTAGACTAGTACTTGACAGGAAACTGAAATCACACCATCCGAACACAATACAACTCGATGTCCACTAAAAAATGCAACCTTCATTTTCATCCAGTCCGGTAATAAAGGCTGACAAACTTCCAATCAAACCTAATCACCCCTCCCCGTGGCATAATCTATATCTTCGACACAAATGATCTATTACAGCATTACCTTAGCAGACTTAGCACCTCGCTTCTTTGCAGGACCTTCTTGTTTAGTAGCTTGTTCAAGAACTGGTTCTGGAGCCGGGCAGCGTTCAACAAAATGGGCGTTCACAAGTTTAAGAAAGCTTTCCTGGACAGAATCCTTACCTGCAGAATCTCCTGGTTGGAGGAAAAAAAAGCAAGTTGTAGGAATGGAGCACATGAACCGTACACTTAGTCACAATGCTCCCACTTAACTTTAAATTGAAGCAAAAATATTCAATAAAACAGTGATAAAAGGCTCACCTTGACTTTTACTTGATTCAGCTCCTTCAATTATTTGTTTAAGTGTAAGCCTACCATTCTCAAGCAAATCCTTGAGAATTAGTTCGTGCTGGAAAACAAATGAAGGAAAGGCAATAATCAGAGAATCGATGACCCCCTAAAAACAACAAACCAAACCAAAAACAAAAAGAACAAAGAAACCAACATCTGTATCGAGTTCCTGGGATACAACAGCAAGAAATTTGGCAAACCTCCCCCGGTGGATTATATTATCGAAGAGCGCTATATACTGAGTGACTTTTGGGCCCTCTGCATCACCACATAGGCAAACAAAAAAATTCACTCATTTTATGCTCTCATTGAGCAAACCCAAAAGCCCACATGAAAATTGAAAAGAACAGAAGCTGGGTTTAGGGTTAAGAGACGCACCGGATTGGTCGAAGGAGAAGGGTTGAACGCAATTGTGTTGGATTAGAATGAGGAGAGAGTTCTTGACTTGCTGAGGGGTCAGCTCTGTGAACCCAATTAGCTGTTTCAGGCTTAAATGTCCTCTTCTTAGTAGACTTTCACACACTTTCTGCAACCACAGACACATACATAAAATCAATGATAATTACCCATAAATTGAAGAAAAAGGTAAAAGCTTTGAAGAGAAAGAGAGAGAGTTACAGCGACGAGATTGCCGAAGTTGGAGGTGATGATGTGTACGGCATATTTAATGCCGTATTGGGTCAGCGTCATCTTCTTCTGCCTATTTCTCCTTCTTCAGTGAAAGAGCGGACAAAGATAGGCGGGAAATAATAACCAAGGTAGAGGCAGGCCTCAGGCGAGAGTTGCAGCTCCCTCCAGTGGTCAATGCTCACCGTTTTATTATTTTAATCTTTAATTGAAGGACAACAAACCCTATTGGCTAGGCTATTGCGGGCCAATAAAATTAGGCCCGAACTTCACTCGTTAGTGGGCCTGAGCGGAGAAGTTGGATGGCAGAGAGTTACTAAGGGATCAAATCAAAACGAACGAAAATGCAATAGTAAGGTCCACATTTATGATCCATAAATGACGCCCTTCAAAATAGATAAAATATATAAATAAGATATATCATAAGAAATAGTAATATCTAAGAATAATGAAGGATTAGATTAGAAATTAAAGAAGGAAGGAATGTGTCATTATCTATTTTTTCGATCGATTGAACGTGTCATTATCTTATAGGGAATATGCTGAGTTTTTTGTTGGCAAGAAAAGCTGTTTGATTACAACTTTTACCTGCCCTCTACATATATAACCATGCAACGCAATGCAAGTGCCCATGCCCGTGTTATCATGTCGGTCCCCCTTACCCCTAACATACCCCGTTTTGCGATTGACAACATTTGAACGGATTCAATGCCGTAGGCTCCATTTAATCACTAATTTCTCAAATAATCTAGGCAGAAACTATGTAGGTGTAATCATTATATCGTCACCGTTACGTACGTAATTATGGTATGTATAATTGATATGTTATTGACATAGAATATAGTGTTAATAAATAAATAAATACAAGTGTTACAATATTAGTAACACTACGTGACGGTATAACCATCACACCGAAGAATTTCTAATGTACGCATGAGTGGGATCTATGCTCTCTGAGGGCTTATAAAAGCAGAGCTTGGTAGAGAAAGAAGCATCTCAAGACTTAAATAATAATAGTCTCTCACACGTACGCAAGCTAGCGAACTTTCCCATCACAGCAAATGCATGAACAGAACATAACAGATTTGTGCATCTATAAAAGAAGCCAGGAGCAGCCAAA